ACAAGAGACAGATACCCAGGGTGCTGCCTGCCTCCGGCTCACACCCGCTGTCCCTGTCCCCACAGATAGCGAGGGGATCCTTATGCACAACCCCATGAAATGAACAAAGCTCCACAGCCCACAGGAGGAGCCCCGACAGCCCCGCACCCTGCCCCTTCTCCTGGACTGCCGCAGGTAACCGGCCCATTTGGGGTTGGGGGGACCCAACTTTGCCTCCCTGGTTTGTGCTGGGGACGGTGGTGCCATCTCCTTCCCTCCCTGCCTCCCTCCAGCCGACGTTCCCACCCGGTCAGACGGCACCTGTGGTTTTTAACCCGGCACCGACCTCACAAATGAATACGCCTTCTCAGCCGCGCCAGGTAAGGGCTTTGCCCTGGGTTGGAGGGGGCGATGCGGGGGATCCAGCAGCTTTCTGCTTCCCGGATGAGTAACCCCCATGGTGCTCGGGGGTTCTCAGAGCACTGTGGTGCCCCCCGGGGCCGGCGTGCACCTGCAAGGGGGAGCGTGCCCGTGATCCAGACCATGACTGCTGCCTGGCGACCTCCTGACCCTGGGGTAGCAGGGCAGACACCTCTGGCCGGGGATGCCCACTGAGTGACTGCTCTTCTCTCCTTCCTCCCCTTCCCCAAACCTCCCTCTCCTCCTCTCTCAGTTTCCAGCAGGGCCTCGGGCTATTCACCAGCAGGTACTAACCCGCTTCCCCCACCCCGCATGCCGAGTACCATGGCCTGACACTGCACAGAAACACCCACCCTGGGCACAAAGGGGCTGGGGAGCATGTGGGGACCCCAGAGTCAGGGGACAGGCTGATCTGGGGAAAGTGCGGGACACCCACTTGACTATGGGGGGCGGTTTCCCTGCAGTGTCTCCCCAATTTCCTCCTTGCATGAAGCCTGCAGCATGTGGCTGTGCCTGTGCTAACCCTGGCCCAGGCTGCTGCTTCTGCCTGTGCCCTTCCTCATCATCCTCTTCCTCTTCCCCACTTTGTGGGGGTCTCCCAGGGCCCTGCGGTGCCACGCAAGGCTCTGGACCTCCATCAGCCCTCTTGTGTGGAGGAACTGCTGGGGACAGATCTGACGATGTCCTTGGCTGTGCTGGCTGGAAGCCCCTCAAACCCTTCCGTGCCCCTCGGGGAGTCCCTGCAGGGGACCCCAGTGGATTTGGGATGTGTGCATGGGGCAAAGGGCCCCCCAGCCTCCTGTCCCCTCCTCTGCCAGCCACCCTGCGCCCAAGCCCTGTCCCAGTGCTGGTAACTCCTGTCTCTCTCTTTCCCCTTTTCCCTCTGTACGCGTGCACTTGCTAACAGGGAGGATTCAGGTCTCTTCAGGTAACACTTTCTACTTGCCCTGGGGTGCGTGTGTGGGCCCTTCCTTGCACGCTCACTGTTGGGCTTGAGCCGCTGCTCCCAGGGATGCTTCTACCTGGCAAAGGAGCTGGGTCGGGATGAAGGGCACGGGCCGGGGCGGGAATAGCCAGCTCCGCACACCCTCGCCGTCCAGCTCTG